AGCTTATCATTATAATTAAACTATATATGAGGAACTAATTAGTAACTAATAGCAAAGAATCTAATAAACTAATATTATTCAGACAAGTTCCAATTTTAAAAGTTACAAAAAAAAGAAGAAAAATAATAAAATAAATACGATCCAACAATAAAAGCATTAATAGGATTGTAATAAAAATTCGATTTGAAAACTAGAACTTTTTATCTCTATCAGTGAAAATCAAATTTCCATAGAATAATTAAATTTCAAATTAAACAAAATACATAAGAAGTGCTTCATTTCAATACTTCTGAATACTTTTAACTTAATTTCAAAGTTATTATAAAAATTATTAACTAGATACTCATATTACTTTTATAATTAAGAAATTTTTAAATTTAAACTATCATAAATAATATCTTCCTTACATGTTTCTAATTTTTATTCATTAACAATATATATCTTGAAATATTCATCGTTTATGGTATTTTATAAAACGTGAATTATAATAACTTTTAAATGTAATAAAACAATATAATTAAAAAAAAAAAAAAAAAAAAAAAAAAAAAAAAAAAAAAAAAAATCATTTTTAACGAATCATTAAATTTACTTTGCAAATAAATCATTCTTTATAGTATTTCACGATGATATTTTCAAGCCAAAGAGATTGGAAATTTCAAATTTGTCATTTGAATGTGCATAATATGAATATAAATTTTATTATTTTATATATACAGTATGGTATTATTAAATAACTAAACTGTATGTTTATTACGTTGCCACTTTTTTTTTAAAGGCAATTAAAAAATTCCATTTAGTAAGGAAGTCCGAAAAAAATTTGTATAATTTAAAATACTAAGAAAGAGAAATTATATTTTTATAAAATTAATTATACAAATATGCATTAGATAAATTGAATTCGATACATAAAATTAATACTAAACTCCATATAATAAAATTTTATTTTAATCATTATTTTAGTCGATTAGGCATACAAGAGTAACTTAAAATTAAAAAAAAAAAGTCAAATATTTGATGCTCTTCATCTAATTAAATTAAAGATACTTTTGTTTGAAATAAAAAATGTATGGAATATAATGCTTTAGAACAATAATAATTTTATTTCAATTTCCACTTGTTATGGATCAAGTTAAAATTATATACGGAACATTAGAAAACATGTTAATAAATATATTATAAGTACGCATATTCAATTAATTATTCTTTAGGTAATAGAATATTCTAATGTTATACGTAAATTAAATATAAAATCCAAAGTACACCATCTTTATATTTAAAAATATTATTAAAAATAGCAAATCAAGCTTTATAGAAAAACTATTTAACAGCTACTAAATAGTATGAAATTGCATGTTTTGTCTAAAATAATAAAGATAACATATTGAATCAAATGTGAATGGAATATTTGAATTTTTATTCTAATAAGTTATTATGTTTAAAAAGTTTTAATTATCGAAATTGTCTTTGTCGGAAAACATAAAGTGACAATATCTGTGATAATATTTAACTTATAAAACATATACAATAGAAGTAAAATATTTCATCATTAAATAAAATACTTCTAATAATATTGGAAAATTTAATTATATCATACATTTAAGAAAGATAAGAGCACTTTTTGAATTAAAAATGAAAGAATATCAACAAAACGATAATTGAAAATTTAAAAAAAAAAGCTTAAAATAAAAAATTTTCAAGCATAAGGAAACGACCGTTGAGTCGTGATATTAAATTAAATTACGTAATGTTAAGTTTTAGGAAGTATTTTAGATGAATTTAATATGAAATAGAATAAATTTTCATTTTATATTATTAAATGTATGACTTGGAAAGTGACTAATATCGATTATATAATAATAAGTTTTGTTTCCTTAGGTTTTTAATGAATTTAATTGGTTTCACGGTCATCGGATAGTTGAAAATCAAAATAACGAATGTACTATGCTAATTAAAAATCTTATAGTTTATACAGATATTGATAAGTTAGTTATCACTTTATGAATTTATATAGAAACTAATTAAATAATCTTCTTTATATATACGCCAACATAACATAAATTAGAAAAATAGAAAATGCTTGGCCAGAAGAAAGAAAAGACAATTAAATTCCAATTGGATCAATCTTCACTTACATTATAAAATCATAAATTTAAAAATACTCCTAATTCACAAATAAATTTATAAAAGACCTATAATATATTCAATTTTCTTATATTGCATAAGAAATGGATTTTTTTTTAATATTAGAATACCAAGTAAAACGAAAACAGCTCTGTCGTCTTAATATGCACTCAGCTATATACGTAAAAGGTAATGAAAAAATCCAGACTTTTTACTATTTTATTGACACAAAGAATTTCTCATTAATTATACGACACATAAGTTCTACGAAATTATTTAGTATTAGTGTTTTCCATTGAAAGCCTCACACCTAGAAGATGGCCATTTTACTTGTGGCTTTATACAATATATTTAATTGAACTTGTACGAAGAATTTGCTCCTCCACAAACACGTAGACACCCACCCAAGGCACACTCACTCACACGCGCGCGCGCCCACAAACAAACAAACAAACACACACACATGGCTGGCGTATTTTCTTCTTCAGATTTAATTTTTATAACCTAATTTATCTTGAGTAAAAGTTTTTTTTTGTTTGTTAAAACGTCCATCTTAATTATACTCATTTTAATTTTATACAAACATTAAAATGTTATAATAAATAAGGCATAAAATAATCTTAATTAGTCATTATACTTTTATTTGTTCTATAATTTTACATAAAAAATTTATATTTATTTTATAATTGTATTATATTTTACTTGTTTTATCAGTATTATGTTTAAAATAAATTAGTTTTTGACATTTATTATTTTACTATTAATAATTAAGTATTGATTGCAAATTTTTCTATATATATATATATATATATATATATATTAATTTACATTTATGCAATAAATTTCTAAATTAAAATGTAAGTAAATCTATATTATTACATAAATTTGCAAAAAATTTTGTTAAATATTTTATTTCCCTCATATTTTTTATCGTATTATTTTCATATGTCACATACATTTTATAATATTTTAATCTAATACTGTCATAGTTAATTGTATTACTAATAACTACGGTACTCAAAGATAAGCTAATAAGCAAAATTTCTTATTGTTCTTCATTCATATCTTTTGCTTAAAAAAAAAAAAAAAAAACAAACAAAAAAAAACATTTCATTCCGTTAGCCATTATTTTCACTTTAATTAAAATAAAAATTAATATGAATACGAAATGTAATATTAATTTGTAAATGAAATAAGATACAATTACCAGTGGTTTTAAAGTTACCTGCAATCATCATTCATTTGAAATAATTTAAAATCAAGTCTCGTTACTCAAAATTTAATTAGTGCTAACATTTAACAAATAATGATAATTATGATATTGAATATTTTTCACAAAATATTAAATAACTAATAATCTTTATAATTGTGTTATTTAACCGCGTTATTCAATATTTCTCTCACTAAAATATACACGAGTCATGCTTATTTCATGACTTTTTCTTTTGAAATTTTCTTTTTTTTCTTCTTTATGTATTTTTTGCAGTGTAGCTATACTATAGCATTACTTTCCATACAACTCCAAGCCATGTTCGAACAAATACGAAAAAGTAGCCGAGCATTGAATAAGTTTAGGCTCGACTTGATAAAAAAATCATCAGCATACAACTTATGCAGATAGAACTTAAAAGAACTTTGTATGTGGCGCCAAAAACTTTGCATATCGCTCAAGATTTCAGCGATAAAACGTCCAAATTTCGTTTACACACGATATGTTGAAATACTGGAAAACAATTTCACTTTGAATATACGAAAAATATAAAATATAGTCCGCATATTTCCACTTTGTCATGCTCTTATTTCCTTTTTAAATATCAAAAAATATAGTAAATAATTTAACCTATTTCACCTTAATTAAATATATTCTTATATTTTCACTTAAATATTACATATCATATTAATTATTTTGACTAAATTATATTAACGAAAATTTGAAAGGACAGAAATATTTTTTAACCATTGATACCGCATCATTCAAGCCAGTATCCGCGAGCGCTAATTTTTTAACATTATCAAAAATAATTAAATTATTTTTTTCGACCTAGTTAATGATTTACATTGATTAGTATAATTTCACCATTACTGCTATAAGATGATAATACACGATAAAACAATATACATAGAAATTTTACGTATTTACGTATATAATAGAGGTAGGATATATTATGTACGGATAAGCCGATTATATCCGTCTAGTGAAGCTACGATTGATCATTCAAATTTTTTACATTACAATAACATCGAGAATTTATCTTTATATACTAATTGCCATCTTTTCAATCGCTTATAGATGACATCCGCAATACTACAGCGTGCAATCTTATAGTCAACTATTTTATGTAAAACAGATCCACCCCCACCCCTCCATTTGCTTTTTGTATGCATACGATCATGATAATACAATGATATTCTAATATCGTACTTAACTTCCTATTATATACACACGCTGAATAGAAGCAATAGATAAAATTTATCAATGCCCTTTACATACCACATGAAGATTAAGCTTAAATATTGATTTATAATATGCGCTGCAATATATTTAAATAGACGTTTAAATGCCGTAATGGAAACTATGATAAAAAAATTTCAAGCAAATATAGTAAGCAGAGTTATTGATACTAAACATTAGTGAGTATTAAAGTTTTGAAATTAATGTGAAAAGTAGGTTGGTGTAAGAATTACGCGTGACGAAAGCACTGAGAAGTTTGGCAAATCTTTCCCCTGGCGTTCATTATAAGGACACAGCGAGTGCGCGCGAGCCTACTGCACTCATTTGCGCGCGTACGTGAGCGCACGGCACGCGCAAAAGGATTTACGCGATCTAATTCAATCCCTCCGAGACGCAACTTTTTAATCAGAACTTTGTACCATTACAGCCGGAAAACTGCATAGCAAAGTACACACCGCACGGCTACTGCATCGTTTATTCGACGACCGATCGCTCGTCCCTGCGCGTCGCCGAGGAGATTCTCCAAACTCTCTGGCGCAGCGATCACATATCGGCCAAGGCGATCATTCTCGTTGGAAATAAGGCCGACTTGGTGCGCTCCCGTCTTGTTACGACCGAAGGTGAGCAAGGAACCGGCTGACTTCTTTCCCATGCGCTATCATGCGCTATACATCTACTATCCATTTAGCCTTGTAATTCGAGGATTTTCAACGAAACGACGAGAATGAATCAATTTCAAGCGCGTTTTCCTTGAGCTCTTTACTTCAATCGACGTGAAGTGGAGTAGGATAGTACTTGATGTACTTGATTGTTATCATATATTACATTAATTTTTTCATTCGTTCAATAGAATTTCATTTAAAATTGTCAATACATTTCTTACAATAAAACAAAAAGATTCTTCAACTTTTTTTAAACATAACGTTCGAATGATGTAGATAATTAAAAACGAATGGGAATTTTCAAGAACAACATATTAGGTATAAAATTAAAGCTGTGCATACTTTCACATGTTCATAATTAATGCGCGACAGTTATTTTCATACCGTAGAATAGCAATTATACGAGCATATAACATGTATATGCCCGTAAAATTACCATACGTAGATAATTAATCTCCAACTAACTTAAGTATTACTTAAATTACAATGGATATGGTTTTTATGTAACAATAAGTATACTCTAATTAATAACTGAAATTGAGTGTCTGAAAATTGTTTGTCGAGTGCACTCTACGCGTCTTAGCAGCAACGTATAACAACGTAAAAGCAGTAAACTTGTAAGTGCATTTTATTTAAAATAAAAAGATAAAGAAACAAAGTGAAAAAAAAATGAAGATTTTTAAAGTCAATGATATTACTTAGTATTATATATAATATATTTTAAAAGTTTTTCTACAGCTCATGATAGATCGCGGTTTATAATAATATAATAGATTGGTTCTTTAAAAAGAATCATATTAATACTTGAAAATTCTTCTTAGCTTCTAAAGTATTCTTAAAAGTAAAATTTTAGCATTATCGTGAAAATGAAAATAAATTTTTCTTTCGACTTTCGAAACTTTCGAAATGTTTGTTGCAAAATATTTAAAAAATTAATGTTTACATTATGCAAATAATGTTCTTAAAAAAAAAAAAAAAATGTTATTATATACTCTGATTATAAATATATAAATTGTTCTCAATTACTTAAAATGCGCGTCTGTGTTACAGTCAGTGGGACAGAACACACACTGATGGGGAATAAAATTTAATAGAATATGATTAGAAGATCTTTATAATTATTTCAAAAAATGAACGGAAATAATATTTTTATCGATTTTATGAATATAATTAGAAAGTAATTATTTTATTGGTAAATTGATAAATATAAAAAATATTGATTTTATTACAAACGTATCTGGTATACCGAAACGACAAAATACAAATTTTCATTCAATTTATTATGTAAGTTTTATTTATCATCCAACAACACAAAGCTTTATCATTAAATACATGAAAATATCATTGTTATTCATTTGAATAAAGCCGATAGTTATTGTCCTATTTTAAACATAATGACTTAGCTTATGGTAACAATTGTCCTGGTATTAAAGTGCTTATGTTAAAATACGTATGATACTGAGAAATCTAATACTCGTAAATAATCAAAATTGTGAATTCGACAATATAACGTATCTCCTCCCATTATCCTTACGATCCATAATACCCGGCAGAGTTTACGCTCGGGTATCATCCTCCCGCTGCCGAGCGACGACGAAATGAAAATAGCAGGAATTAAATCAAAGCACTAAATAGCAACTCTCTTCTTATGTCCTGTTGCAGATGGCACGTCAATGGCCATTCGTTACGATTGCAAATTCATCGAGACGTCGGTGGGCATAAATCACAACGTGGACGAACTCCTCGTTGGCCTCCTTACCCAGATCCGGCTGAAGCTCGAGAACCCGGAACGCAATCGCGACCTCTTTCGGCGACGATCTCGTAGAAACCGCAGTCGCTCGCCCCTTGGCTCCTGCTCGGAGAACAACTCGCCCAAGAAGTACCGAGGCAGCAGGACGAGCGCGAGCGTCAAGGTGCGCAACCTGCTGGGTCGGGTCTGGGCAAGGGACAGCAAATCCAAGAGCTGCGAGAACCTCCACGTACTCTAAAGCTGGAGAAAGGAAAGAAATAATCCCCAAGACTGACCGAGCTGGCCGATCGATCAGGTGATCGATAGGATGTCTAACTACCCTGATTTCCCTCTTTCTCCCTCCAGCGACGCCGTCTCGCCCCACCCCGACCTCTCTCACCCAAATCTCGTTTCTTACTGGAAGAGGGAAA